GTGAGAGCGATAGGTCGCTCGATGCGTTCGCTCTTTGGGATCATGACAATGTTGGTGTGCCTCAGTTGAAGAGGTAATTCGGCTTCCTTTTCCATCTCTGTGAGGAGGCCTGCCAGCTTCTCCACCGCAGGGTAAGGAAGGTGGCGAAGAAAGTCATAGGAGATGCCATCCGGCCCAGCAGCTTTGTTGGGAAGTCGTCTCATCAGCTTCTGGAGAAGGCTTGAATCGATGGCCTTGATCTGCTGGGCTTGTGCTTGGGCAGCTCTCTTGAGATCTGGTAGGCCTCTGATTTGCAGAGGTTCGTTGAGCGGGATCCAAATGTCCCCCCATTGCTGTTCCCTGGCCTGAATGCGGGAGGTGGAAGGCAGGTCTTGAAAAGGTCTCTGCCAGGCATGGTCCTTCTGCCGCAGGCTGCGGAAGAGTCCTCTAAGGCCTTTGTCATGGGCCTTTTCCAGCCACTCCCGAAATTCATGGTTGGTGGCGCTGAGGAGTTGCTCTTGAGCTAGTTGAAGTTCGTGTTGAACACTTTGAAGGAGGTCTGCCGGATCAGGGTCGCCACCAAAGATCCATTGGAGCAGTCGTTCCTCAAAGCTGTGCTGATCCAAGTCCTTGGAAGCATGTGGTGGGATTCTCGTGGCCATGTCTTTGAGGTCTTGAAGCAAACCAGGGTAGCGGCCATGATTGGCCAGGTTGATCTTGATGCCTAGTTTCTCCCAAAAGGCAGCACTTCCTTTCTTCCAGACTCTTGGTTTGGTGGAGCTGGCTAGAGGGGCCAGACGCAAGTGGATCTGGGACCCACGCAGTGACAGGCTTGTTCAAGTGCTGAGTGAGGTACTTCTCCGTTTGGGTGGCCCACCTGGCTAGGTCAGAGCCAAGGCCTGTGATGTTTTGCCCAATGATGTGGAAGGGGCCATCCTCCTCCGTGAAGCTAGTCCAGAGATGCTTGGGGTGGTAGTTCCTGGTGATAGGCGGAAACCTTTGAAGCTGTTGGACCGCAACCGCCGCTTGGGCACAATCAAATTGAAGAGCCAAAGCACAATGTGGCTTCCAAGGGACTTCCCAATCCGCTTCCAAACGAAGAGCAGAGGCGATGGAGGTGGACGCCAGTATGAAGTCCGGTGGCTGCCCTGCAGAGTCGTCGGCCCCGGAGTGGCAAGAATCTGAGCCCGAAACTTGCTGGGAATGGTGGTGGCCGCCAGGTCTTCAGGTGCCGTCTGCCAATCGCCTCCAATGATGAAGGGAGCCTGAAGATGGTCAAGGAACTGCAGAAGTTGCCCCAGAAGATCGGCATTGAGTGGGGATTGAAGAGGTTCCCCAGTGCGCAGGTACAGCTGAATGAGATAGAGCTCGAGGCCGTCTCTCTGCATGACCAGCGCTGTCCATCCGTTGCCCTGCTTGGTGTAGGTGTGAACATGGTGGATGAGGTGTCTGGTGGCAAACAAGGTGAGGAAGCCGCCTGTGGCGCCTCCGTTGCCAGTGGGTTCTGCCTCGACTCCTTGGCATTTCCAACCCCGACAGTTGAAATACTGCAAGGTGGAGTCCAGGGCTTTCCTTTGGAGGTGTGTCTCCTGGAAGAGCATGATGGTGTCTCCTTGTGTCCAGACCCAGTCTTGCACCTTTTTGCCAAAGAAGGTGACATTGGTGAAAGTGATGTGGAGGGTCTCGTGGCAAGTGCGAGGTTTCTTCGGAAGGTATTCAGCTACTTCCATGGCTGTGTCCGGGACCAATTCATCAGTGGGAGCAGCGGCGAGCCAAATCTGAGAGATCTCTCTGCGCTGCTGAAGACTGAGTTGCGTCAGCGGGGTGGGAAAGGTCCCATCATCAGCCAGCCAGTAGATGTTGTCAATGGCCAGAATGGTCTGGTAGTGTCCATTCTCATGTGCGGCGCCTTGATGAAGCACCATTGCTACCACCTGATACGTTGCCATGTGGACATGAAATCCATCTTCAGAAAAGGGCAGGTTGACCTTGGTGTCTAACTCCAGCTCACGGTGGTGTTTGGTCCAGGTGCCCTCTTGCAAGGTGGAGCGCTGGAGGTTGATCACCACACCACCCGGGGAGCCGTACAAGAACTGACCCTGACCCTCGTCGGCCCAAGAATTGACCAAAGTATCCAGGGTGAGCGGGCCTTCACCGTCAGGAAAGATGAAGTTCAAGGGAAACTGTCCCCGCTCCTCTGTGTGCCCTCTCTCACTGCGATGGAAGAAACGCCCAGCAAAGAAGGAGCTGCCGGAGTAGGTCCACAAGGCGTGAAGGAAATCCACCGCGTCAGCTTGCTGGTCTTGGTCAAACTGCGCCCAGATGTGCTGCATGCCCTGGAGACCGGTGAGGAGCTGTGGTTCATTATCGGACAGATGTTGACGCACCGCCTTGGTGGTGTTGCCCCAGGCTTGGGTGACATCATCCGCAAAGGCCCCTGTCCAGCACCAGCATCTCCATGGTGCATTGCCATAGCAAAGGTTCCTGGGATTGTGCAAGATGCAAGTGAGGCACTGAGAGACGACAAAGATGTTTGCCACGGTGTGTTCCACTTCCCCAGGAACACTGAGATGGCTTTGAATGAGATTTTGCATCCGCTTCAGGTCCATGAGAAGCTGATGCCCACTTGGCAGAGTGGGGTTCCTGCCATAGCGTTGACACGAAGTGCTCAAGTCGTTGCTACATAGGTCAAAAAGAGTTTTCTGTTCAAAAGTGAAGGGGGAGTCATCGTCGCCCTCCATGTTGAGGAGGAGGGCCAAAGACTGAACAGCCGAGGTCCCGTAGACAGCAGTCTCCCTTGGGAGCTGCTCAGAAGTAGTAGAACACGGTGCCCCGTCTGCCCAGTCGGCCAGACCCTCCTGAGAGGGTTGAGCCCCTCCAAAAACCTTGAGTTTCCTCAAGGGATGTCTGCACGGACCATAGCCCGTCCCAAGTGAAGAAAGGCCCGGACTTGAGCCTGAAAGCAAAGGATCAACTGAGAGTGCATGTCCCCTGCAAGCCAGTTGGCCCCATGTCATGAACTGAATTGCATGACTGAAGTTCCCTGTGTGAAAGCGAAAAACCATGTGATGCCAAGGGCGGCAAAAGGCTACCCACACGACGCTGCATTGCCAAGTTCTGTCTTTCGGCGTTTAGCCTCTTCATCTGTGACTTCCGCATCAACCGAAGGACGTTTGGGCATGACGTGCAGCTGGTCTTTTTGTTCCTGAGTGAGGCTGACTCCAAGAGTGTTGATGAAGCCTGCCACTGCGGCTGGCACAGAATCATCCATCTCGGTTTCGAGAGGTTGGAGAGGCATTTTAGCCTGTGAGGAACTGACCTTGGTGAGGTAGGCCGTGCTGATGGTGTTGAGGGATGCCTGTTCCTGCTCAAGTTTGCTTTGCAGGGACTTCATTTCGTCCAAGAGCTCTTGGTAGTGCTTCTTGGTGTTGTCGATCTTCTGTTGCAGGAGTTGCTTCTTTTGAGAAATGTCCCGAAGTGTGGTGACTTGCTGTTTCAGCCTGGTCGCCATGTCCTTTTCCGTCTCTGGCTGAGGTTTGGTGATCTTCTCAACCAGTTCCTTGACGGGAGCTGGTAGACTGGCCAGATTCTCCTTGAGAACATCAGTCAAGTCAGGCTCCACAACCTTCTGGGTGGGATTGATGCCCACCTGGACAAGTTTCGTCCTCAAGGCCTCATCAAGCGAGTCCCATGCCGGAGCCAAGATCTCAGACGCTGTCTTCTGAAGCTTGGACGGTCGAGGTGGCCTTTGTGAACTGAGACCCGGAGGCGGTGTCACACGGCGGTGTCTGGGTTTGCTCCAGCTGGGTGATCGGCGGTCACTGGCCTGAACATAGCCCTGTTGCGGCTTCTTCCACGGAGTCCCGCATAGGCGGCAGGTGTAGTTGGCCTGAATGCGGTCCTCCCAGATCCAGTTGTGGCATCCTGCTTTGCCACAGCATTGGTATGCCCTCGTCCACGTCATGCCAGAGCGCCAGTGCCAGGTGCCGGAGAGCTCGTCAAGGGTGCGCGGCTCGAGGACGTGAAGTAAGGGAGTGGCTCCAATGCCGATGCGGTAGTCGTGACAGAAGGTGGAAGGAGCGATCACTTGAGCAGAAATGGCTTGAGCCGTATATATATATACATATATATGTAATTGTATGTATGTATGTATGCATGTATGTATGTATGTATGTATTCCAGCTCTTGCCATTCCTGTGATCTTGGCAGGCTTTGAAGATTGTAGACATTGTAGACAGCATTTGGGGCATCCCACTGCAGTCAAACACCCGCGTGACAGCCGGTAACTGTACCACAACTTACCGCACAGGTTGCCAATCAAGCAAAAATGCTGCATACTGCAAAGCACACACAAACTTTATGAGGCCTGTTTCAGTCGATGGAAACTTCTGTCTCTGCCACATCTCCATGGACAAAGTGCTGCAGGCCTACAAATAAGCCCAACATCTGCAGCCACTGGAGTATGAACAATTTGCCATTCCCAAGATTTTGGGTGGGGAAGCCGTCGGCATGCCTCTTGAGATAGCAAGATCAAGCATGTTTATATAGAGTGCCATCGCTTGGCAACTACAAAACCAATGCTACACTGATTGCAGGTTGAGTCTGCTTCCCCAGCGAAAATCCTCGTCGGGAAAGGCGGAAAAGTGAAGGGGGCAATCTGCAACTGCGGCACACCAAGTTGCACGACTGATTGCCTGCCAGCACGGCTTTCCCTTCAAGCGCCGATGGAAACTGGGATTGGAAATTGCGACGTATCTTTGTGCGTGCGACATATAGTATGTACGCACGTTATAGACTGGATACAAATGAATAAGGATAATAAGTAGGTGTACTTCAAAGGTATTCACACCGAGCAGCATGAAGACTGCTTTGCGGGTCTATCACATTTCCATCAGAATGCACCAGCGCAAAATGATGCAAAACGGATATAAAACGTCCAGGCGGGCACCCACTTGAATTGAGTGCATGGACTTGCTGGTATGCTGTGAACTTCTCCTTTTCCCTGGAACTCAACCATGCACTCAGCTCTTGCGACTGGCACTCAAGGCGGCAAGAAGCCCCACAGCAGCAGTGCCGAAGGCAATCCTGGGCCAAAGCATTCGGTTTTGAAGCAGAAGCTTCAATAGTCTTCTGCAAAATGTCACATTCTCCAATGGCCTCCGTCGTGTTGTGTCCTGACCATGAGTTTTTACAGCACAAGCCTCACAACCGAGGTGCGACAACAAAAGCAGTGGCAGCTGACTTGAACTCCGAGTTGTCTCTGCTGGGCGTTCTGGCTCCCCGCTCTCCTCATTCAACTTGACCAGAATGATGGAAACAGCTTGCACTACACATGATCACATGAACAAGGACATGAGTGCTCAGATGGAATGCTGCAAGTCCTTGGAGTCTGCCTTCTCTGGATGAGGATGCCCCTCTGGCATGGCCACACCTCGTGAAGGGATTGTTATGCACATGGTGCAGTTGAGCGTTCTGCTATTGAATCCGCATACATGGGCTGCATGCACATTTCATGCCTTTATAGTATTCTTTCGACCATACGAAAGTCTCATCCGCTCAGGAGCTCTTATTTTTCTCACATTGGGGACGTGTACGGTGCAGCTGTGCTGCCAGTTCATTTGGTATGGAAAACTCTGAAAAATTCACTCCTTACACTTCTGTACAACAAACTTATTGGACCAGACTTATCACTTTTAGTTATGTCAGACTACCCGAATTTGCCCCCC